GGGGGGGGGGGGGGGGGGAGAGTTTTATTGACACTTGTGGCATGTCCCCCCCCCCCCCGAATATATTACTGCAGAAGATTTTAAGGGCTTCGGCTAATTGTGACCAGGAAATGTATGGACAGTTAAGAAGACACTCTTAAAGAAGAAGGGTGATATGTTTCAAGGAATATGGGTAAAATAAAGGTAAAGAAAAAACCGGTTAGTGTTGTGTTATTTGATAAATATAGTGTTAATGAATACACATAGTGTTATTGGAAACTTATAGTTTTATAGGATAATTACCGGTATAGTATTATATGATTCATATAGTGTTATAGGATACATATAGTGTTATTCGATACACATAGTGTCATTGAATACATATAGTGTTAAATGATTCGTGTAGTGTCATAGGGTACATATAGAATTACAGGATACACAAAGTTTTATATGATACATATTGAATATAGGATACATATAGTGTTATAGGATTTTGAAATAGGATTACCAGACGTCCGTATTTAGTACGCATAGTTTTGTATTTTCGATCTCCTTGTCCGTACTAAATTTTGCGTCCATATTTGTCCGTACTTACCTTTCGTCATCCGGCGGCTTGTCCACACTTCTGGCAAAAACGGCTTGCTTGTCTTACTTCCATTTGTCTCATCTTATTTCTCCGCATAGGCCAGCGCAATGAGCAGTCTCAGCGCCATCGTTACGTCTCATTAACGTAAGCATTACTGCTGCACTTGAATGAAACCGCGCATGACCATCTGCACAAGCAAATGAAATATTCCAAGGAAAAATTAATCGTTGGCAATCTCTTTGAAAATCTAACTTATGAGAGACACCTTTTGTCACCTGCTGAGCTGGAAGAATGGAACTCGCTAAATCATTTCTGTAGATCAAAAAAAAAAAATAATAATAAAGTGGGTGCACATTTTTTAACATGTTAAAACAAATGATATATTTTCTGGACATTTTGCAACTACTGCTTGAGGTTTTTATTCAGCCTTCCTGGCACGACAGCGCCAGTGGAGTGTGCGTTATCTCTAAAAACACATGCTTGAACGCCTGAGAGATCACAGCTGAAAGCCACAACTCTGAGAGATAATCTGATTGTTCCGAGGAACATTGATCTAACAGGTCCTCAATTTATGATACGATTCTTATGAATGGAACTTTTTTTCGAAGCCATTCGTGGGCCTGCAAAATATTCACAATAGTTTGTAACAAAATTAAGTCGAGAAGGATATTCAATAATCATGCACAACACCCCCCTTCCCCCCCCCCCCACATGATATGCCTCCGTTTGCTTTGAGTCTTTATGGCCGTACTTGGCATCCAGAAAAATATGGTAATTTTACTTTGTGTCCGTACTTGGCATCCATAAAGCTAGTAGGTTTCATAGAGTGTTATTGGATACGTATAGTGTAATTGGATACGTATATTAGTATAGGATACATATAGTGTTATAGGATACACATAGGTTTTAGGATACATACAGTGTTATAGGATACATAAAGCGTTATAGGATACTGTTACATACTGCTGTATATTAGGGAGAAATTCATCTCTTATTTTAAGTTTATGGCTCGTTCTTAACAGTACATAACAAAAGACGATGCCAAATGAAAAATACAATAGCAAAAGAATACGACCCTCAAAACAGTGTTACCTACAATTAATAAAATTTATTAAGTTAACAATAAATTTCAAAATAAAAGAAATATAATTAAAACCATTAACTTACAGAGAATTGTTTTTGCTTGTACCGGTACACAGTTGATGATAATACAATGTGCCAAAAAAGGCACAACGATGCATAGTAATTCACACTTATAAGTAAAAAAAAAAAACTCTAGCAAGAATAACACTCTCGAAAAATAACTCTTGCCTGTCGTCCCGTAGAGTAACAATGTCTCGCGATGAAATGCTCTCTAAAAAATCGATCGTGTCCCCTTTTTATCGTCTGCTCTACTGATGTATCTAGAACCGCCTTAGGCATTGTTTTCCTTTCCAGTTTTCTCCAGATTCTTCTACAGAAATCTGATAGATACATGCTATTAATGTTATTTAGGTCAAGACACTATTTTTTAGCTAGCCACGCCTTAAATGCGGTTTCAAGCTTGCTTGGTGTCTGCTAGAGTTCACAGCACGGGGAAATAAGACGCGTCGTCTACAATAGTCTACATAACAGATACATATAGTGTTATTGGATACATATAGTGTTACAGGATACATATAGTGTTATTCGATACATTTAATTTTTCTGGGATACATATAGTTTTATAGGATACACATAGTAGCGTGGCTAGGGTAGGTGCCGCCATGTAGGTGAAGCCATCTAGGTGCCGCCATGTGAAAGGCTAAAATTTTGGCTGCTCCCTATACCACGAAATAAGCTTTTTCAGGTTTCCTTAAATGTTGCCCCTAAACAAAAAATAAAAAAATAGACAAACCTACACCCCCTCCTCCCTTTTCTTCGCCACGGGATATTTATCTATAAGGTATTGGAATCTAAATGAGAACCCCCCCCCCCCCCCAAAAAAAAAAAAAAAGGTTAACTGGTGGCTAAGCAACAGTAGTTGCATTATAAACACGAAGGCAAGAAGGTTTCACTTAATGAGCTGACGAGCCGTTAGATTTAACAAATGACATTTTGGTATTTAATATTGAGACCAAATCCAATGATGTATCCAATCCTTTGTATTCCACAGAAAATGACTGTCGCGCGAAATTTACGAACATTTAAAATAGGCGTCCTCATCGCCATCGTATTTATCATCAACCTGCTCTGCCTGTTGTCCATCTCGCTCCAGAACGTGCTGACCTGGAGGTTACCGCATCGGTACTTCAGAGAAAACGATCACCCGTACTTCAAATCAACGCACCCGGGCGGCGTCAGGCCGAACACGACCGTCAACCCGGTGGTCAAGCTGAAGCTGGACACCATGAAACTGGAGCTCAACGACAGCAGGTTCACCAACGACGTCATGTTCCCCGCCAAGAGGATCGGGCGCTACATCATGGCGGACGCCGACCGATGCCGCGGGGTGAAAGAACTGGACATCATCATCATCGTACACACGGCCCCGGCTAACATGGAGAGACGTCAACGGATTCGGGACACCTTCGGCAACGAGGACCTCTTCGTCCCTTTCCGAGTCCGGACGGCTTTCTTGTTGGGGAAGACCGTCAACCGAACCCTGGAGCGCATGCTGTGGCTCGAGCACGCGACCTACAACGACACCGTCATGGGGGATTTCATCGACGACTACCACAACCTGTCGCTCAAGGGTGTCATGGGATACCGCTGGGTGAGCGAGTACTGCACCAACTCGAGGTTCGTGCTCAAGATCGATGATGACGTCATGATTAACATGTTCAAACTGCTGTATTCCTTCCTGAAGCACATGAGTGGCAAGCCGAAGTCCATCTTCTGCAACTTGTGGCACAAGAACACGATGCCCATCTTGCGGCAGGGCAAGTGGAAGGTCGAGCCGCACGTCTTCTCCAAACGGAACACGTTCCCATACGACTACTGCAGCGGCTTCGTGGTCATCATGACGACCGACCTCATTGGCCCGATGTTTGAGGCCGCGATGACCACCCCGTTTTTCTGGATAGACAACGTGTATCTCTTCGGGATGCTGCCCAGCGTGGTGGGCAGTGTCACTTACTACAACTACGCGCTGGACCGGAACATGACGCTCAAGCAACAGGACGCGCTCAACTGCACCAGAACTCAAGGACCGAGGTGTCCGATCTTCGCGTCCGCCATCAGTGACAAGTTGTTCTGGAGTTACTGGGACCTAATCAAAGGGATATACACGCAGGCCAGCTCTTGGCGCGTGGAGAACAAGATAGTCACGTGATAAGAATAGAGAGTGTTAAATTGTCCTTAAAAACTCGAATAGACGTATGTAAATATCACGTGTACACAGACATATAGAAACTGATTTTATAGACTCTATCATAATTTGTGTGTGTGTGTGTGTGTGTGTATTAATGAAATGAGGGATAATATATTTGAAATAAATGTATTTATTCTTTTTATTAAAACGGGCCAGTTTCAGCCAAACAGAGGATATATTTTGTTATAAATGTTATTTCGTTATTTTTATTTAATGATTGAACTGTAACCACCACGAAGCATTGTACTCTCTACTCTGTGTGGCAAGAATATCACGTGTGCAGTGCTGAAACTTGAATCATTCCGAACAGTCTAATTGTTTTCATGAGTCATATTTATTTGATGACGTTTCAGTATTTCATGTATAAACATATGGTCTTGCAAAGCTAGACGTTTTACGGGCATGTATTTATTTATTTTGATTAAATACTTCTGTACGAGCTTTCACCTTTATATGTTTTTTATAAATGTCAGATGAGAAGAGGTGTTAAACTATGTTAGATGCAAACCCCAAAAGCAGGTCAAAGGAGTCACTCCGGCTAATTTTTTTTCTTGAAGGACAAATTAAAGGTAAATTGGACCAACTAGAGTCAGAACTCTCGAAGGGGTATTCTCTATAGAGACCGACCGAAAGTGATTTTCTGATTTCGGCCGAAGCCGAAAATAGGCCGAAAGTTTAATATTACTTTCGGCCGAAACCGAAAAAAGGCCGAAAGTTTAAAAATGAATTTCGGCCGAAACCGAAAAAATACCGAAAGTTAAAAATGAATTTCGGCCGAAACCGAAGCCGAAACCGAAAATGAAATATTAAGATATTTTGAAATTCGTTCCCGCATACATTCTGCTTAAATGATGTGGGAAAATATAAATATTTACATTCTTTTTATAAAAATGAGATAATCTTAAATATTAATAAATAAAAATCTAATTTAGGGTTCTCAAACTCGCGGCCAGCGAGCCATTTGTGACCCGCAAGA